CAAGTTGATAAACTAAATGTCATTTGTCTTTTGGGCAAAAAAGAAAAAAAAAAGTATTATAATGGTAATGTAAATATTTCGAGTAGGAATTAAACCTCTAAGTGAGAGGAGTAAATTGTTTTATACAGTATTTATACTTATATTGATTACAATGAAAAGTCAAGGTAATTGAGGTGATAAGTTATTTGTATTTATTTTGTAGAGTCTTGGGGTCTTAAACATCCTTTTTATAGATGTTAATAGAAATAATCATTCAATTTTCCTTACGTTCATCATTTCGACCTGATGTATGTCTACGGACGGATTTTTCTTTCTATTTTCCAATTGATATAGTTATATTTAGTTACCGAACTACATTTCAATGTACGTTGTTGTATAATGTTTATCAGCGTACAAGTCTGTGCAATAACAAATTCAATGCGACTATGTTATAAACTTGTTGAGAAGCGTGATTAATAATTCTTTTTATGTTTTACCTTCAGCTTCTCTAAATCTTTTTTTTTCTCTCTGTGTGTTTTAAAGGAAATGTTTTAATCATGTGTTTCTATTTTTAATTTATACAATGAAAATTTTTGTTAAGTGGAAAAAAAATTCAAATGAATATTTATCGAAGTAATTGCTGGTTAATGTCGGGGATGATAAGAGATATAATTCTGTAATGCAGCAGGTGTTGTGCGATTTTTAATTTCCAAATAGCAATTTACGTTGATTTTAGTACAAATTGAAAACAAAAAATGTAAAAAATTATTACGAAGTTTATGAAAATATTAAAATAATAAAACGACCTTAGACTAAGTTTTTCATAATGTGAGTGTTATTCTCACATTTTCACGTATTTCATCTGCATAGCAATTTAAATACAGGGGTATTTACTGTAAATCTAGTTGTACGTGTATACTAAGATGTATCGACAAGCAAGTTTATTTCCAGATATTTTAAACCAGAAGATTTCTCTTTTTGATATTCCGTTGCAGCCTCTTCGACCTGTCACCGTTGACCGTTTGCTAACTGACAACAGAGGAAATTTCTTCCTGGTTTATGTTGTAATCGCTTTTAAAATTGCACGTGCAGATAATTTCCTTACATAATTGCTAACTTAGCAAATTACTATATAGACAATATCATATCGTGGGATCCATTATTCTTAAAATCTTTAAAAGAAAATTACACGCGACTTATGTATGAAAGGCTTTTAGATCCACTCCCGAGAATCGTGTTCTTAAACGAGGCAAGCTATTGAAAAATATGCTGATGAAACAATAAAATCAATAGTGCGCTTAAAGTCAACATTTCGTAAATTCTATGATTGATACAATGACCTTATCAGGAAATGCAGCCCATCGTTGAGTCGAATGCTGACATTTTTATACAAATTGTTAGGTCATTATCTCACACTAAATCGTTAAGGTTTGACCGTTTGCTCGATAATGACAAGGAGCACAGGGGGTGGGAGCGGTGGACAGAGATACTTACTCCTCTATGACACCTGACCCCACCTCTGATGTTTTTAGATGTCCGTGTTTGCTCTGCTTCCTACTTGTATTGTTTCAATGGACTATTGAGCTTGATTCCTGTTCGTTATCATCATATTTCATGATTGCAGTTTGTGGCATTATTATTTGAAAATGAAAAAAAATGATACGATTTTAAATCAAATTAATATTATTCTACTGGTAAATCTTTACTCCATGAAGTTATAAACGGAGGGTATTTGAAAAGTTCCAAACTTTTTTAAGAAGTGTAAAGCCTTTTCGTAGACGTTAAAATTGTATACCTGTAAAAAGGTCACAATTTTTGTGATATATTAATTTATGGAATGACGTCATGGTTCCGTGTGCCCAGTATACCGGGTTTTGTAATACATGATGACGTCGTAAGCGGATCTATAATCATCGTTTTTGTTAAAACTTTTTTTTAAACAAATTGGTACCGAGCTCTGCCAGGACCAAAAAAATATTATATGATAAGTCAGCTATTCCAAATTTCTCTTCATAGCTGGTTTATAGCTGCATTAAGGTCCAGTTACTTTATCACGGATGATTTTTATCCCTCTGGTATCGTTCGTTGGTTGATTTATTATAAGGCTTTCTACTCTATTAGAAAAACATATTTCATGTGAACTATGACATGTTTTTAAAACAAAACATGAAGAACAAGACTCTCAGCAGTATAAAAAAAAAACAGAAATAACTCCGCAAACACGCCTGTTTCTATATGCATTTTAAGCATTATTTGTACAATCCAAACAATTATTCCGCCTCACTTTGGAGGTTAAAATAATGAGTACGAGTTTCATAAGTTACAATAATATTTATTTACCTTGATTCGTATTTTGTAAAAACAACGTATTTTGTACCTTTATTTAGAACATGTATCGTAAAACCTTGCCATTTTTGAAAGATTTTTAACACGTCTTAGAACGATCTCAAAGAACCCTTTTACTACTGTATATTACAAAGTCTACATAATGTCTTTCTAAGGTGTGCTCGAGGATTGTAATCCAAAAAATTAAATTCAAAAGTAAAAAAAAAAAAAAAAAAAAAAAAAAAAAAACAAACAAACAAACAAAAAAAAAAAAAAACATTGATAATATAATGTGTTACATTGACATTTGGAGGCTAATGTATAAAAGTTGAAACACTTCAATAAATTCTTAATAAATTTCGAGAATCAGATATTTGTTTCTTTGAACTTGAATACCGAAATCGCAGAATTTTAATTGCATTGAGTGAAAAAGGAAAATATGTATAAAAATTCAATATTTTCAAGACAACTAACTTAAAAAAACACTCAACAGTAGTTTAACATTAGAGGCATAAACTACGTGAAAAAAAAACAGCAAACTTTTCATTTTGATATTTGAATTGCAATTGCAAAGTAATCAATTACGACAATTCATATTAACTTCAATAAAATCGATACTTAAACGATTGTAAAATACAGAGTACGTAACAGTTAGCCAATCACTTTTCTGTCATTGATTAAGGTTCTGATATATATTTATTTGGCGGTTGATAGACCATTTAGCAAACTTTCACAGAAACGCAGCAGTTACTTTTTTCCTTAAAAAGAGAAGAGAAAATGAGCAATCAGTGTCTTATCTCTTTTATTGTCGGATTCATAGTTTTATCCGAACCTATCATTATTTCACAGAAATATACCGCGATACTGGAATTTAATGATAAGAAATCAAATATCGAACTTTTAGGAGAATATAATTCTCATTCATTGACCGAGTGTGCCGCGATGTGTCAAAGGGAATGCGTCTTCTTTGGTTTCAACTCTCAAATGAAGAAATGTCGTACCCACAAGAAAAGATTAACGTCTGAGATGTCTGATGAGGCCGGTTGGAGATACTACTCTGATAACTGTGTGTATAATTGTTATTTCTTTTATGTCTGTTTGCTTGTTTGGTTGTTTGTATTTTAAGGTCCCATTCGAGAATTTTTCACTCACATGGAGACGCCACCACTTACCGATGGAGGGCTACAAATTTATACCTATGTTCGGCACTCGGGAGCCATTGAGAAGCGAATAATCTTGTTCGTGCCAACACCTACTGCGACAGGGGACATCGGTTTATACAGTCTTATCCGAAGGTCCAGTCTCGACGTCTCGCGGTGGATTCGAACCTGCGACGTAAGGATTAGCTCCATACTCGGCGACCCTAGAGCAGACACTATAACCACTGCGCCACGCGGGCGACTTTTTCTGTCTGACATAAATCACAAAAAACACTCTAAACGCTTCATCTGCTTTTATCGCACTCCTTTTAGGTCGAAGAGGTTTATCAATATTTACTATTCACGATACGTTTTTTTCCCGTGACATTACTGTTATATGCGGTATAAACAATTGTGTTTTCAACATTATTAATTCTAAATAATATTCTTGTCTCTTTGCTGATTTTTTCTTATTATTTTTATTTCTAATTAATGATTAATTTGAGATTAATGGAGTTATATTTTGTGATTCCACTATCTTATCTTTCTTTACTTTCTGTTAGTATTAACTTTGAAAGAAAAAATAAACTTCCATTGTATAGGATATATTAATGACAAATATAAGGTAAAATTTTCACACGATGATTCTACAGTAATAATATTAATCTTTGACTTAATGACACTGTATCATTCTTAACCATTAGAAAATTATAGCTTGTAATTGACTAAATAATCGAAAAAGAGAGCACTTTTAGTTAGGAACTCGAAATTGCTCTCTTGCAAACAACTGTCCTGAAAGCTGGGTGGAGAATCCTGCGCCATGCAGTAATGAGCACCCTTTGTCTACCGGTCAGATCCACCGTGTGTCCCCTGTCCTGATCTGGAAAACGGAAAGTTCGTGGACGTTTCATTGTGAAAATAAAGGTCTTACCATCTGTGTTAAAGACGTCAGTCTACATTCAATACAACGACAGACTGTATTTGAAAACAAGGTCATTGTACGGACCTAAGAATTTAGGAAATGTTAACTTTAACATACCTTATATCAGCTGAAAGAAACGATATCATTGCCATGTTTTTTTTAGAAGTAAAATTAGTTCACTTTCACTGTCCACGTGGTACACCATCTGATCTATAAATATATTCCTCATTAACATTCCTATAAGAAATACAAATAATGTTCGAATTATCAACAGAGTATTGGGGTTAATTGAATTAAATTTAAAATAATATTAACCATATCATAGATTAAAGATCTGAAACAATTAGAAAACCAAAATAATTCCATGTAATTAGGGAGAGCTTGACATATTCTACATTTTAGTTCACAATTTAGCTTCAACAATTAACATTAATATATCTTGCAGGTATAATGTATCCTCTCACTACCTGTATTTAGGCATAATATGATTCCAGTATGTTTTTTTTTCTTTTTCAGTTATTCCCTTAGATTGTAAGGATCTTCACGCAGATGGTTACACTGATACAGGGGTGTATGACATTTACCCCCATGGCACCATTTCCAGTCCTGTCAGAGTTTTCTGCGACATGGAGACAATGGACGGAGGATGGACGGTATCTAGTTTATATCAAAATTAAAAGTACAAAAATAATTCACAGTCAGTGTTGTTGTTGTTTAAAGGATTGTAGAATTTAAAAAAAAATATGAATATTTTGAGTTTATATCATAACACATTGATCCTACAATTCTTCTTCGAACCAATGAATTGTATTGTTATACATATTAATTTTCAAAGGCAATTCAGAAACGCGTAAACGGATCCCTGAGTTTTGACAGGAGCTGGACGGAATATAAGAATGGTTTTGGTTCACCTGAACAGGACGTCTGGGTTGGTAAGTGTAAATCACTGTCAAATAAGAGCTATCATCCGCTTCAAAGTTTGACAACATTTCTTTATTGTGGCAGATATAAAATTGAAGCGTATCAAAGATTTGGTTTTAAGACTGGGTAGTATGTTTCGACAATACTCACTTATCCTGTTTAATTTGTATCTTAAATAATAAGAAAATAATGAAAGCAAGAGGTAATTAAAAATCACTTAGTGGCATGGTATTAAAGAGACAAAAAATAGCACTAGTGTCTACAGCTTAAGAAAATAAGTTGATTTTCATCAAGGTATATTCATATTCAAAATAGAATTAATTGTATGTAATCCACTTTACAGTTGATTTTAAATATATCTTAATGCAGGAAATGACATAATCCATCAGTTAACAAAAGAAAACAACTCATTTCTCTATGCTGCCATCACTCTCCACAATGGTACAAGGCTGTATGAGTTGTACGGTCGCTTCTCTGTCTCCGATGAAACAGAAAAATATCAACTCTTTCTTGCAGGACCGGCCACGGGAACCTTAGGTAAGTGCTTTTTTTTAGGTAAGGTCTGAAAATTGGGTTCAAATCAAGTGCACCATCATATAATTCTTTGCATATAATGTTTATTTAGTTGTTGAAAAAAAGAGACAAAGAGACATGTTTCTCTAGTATTCTGTAAAGGTCCTTGATTCTGCGTTAAGCAAACTTCTTTTTTTGTATTTTACGATATCATTTGTGAGTAAATTCACAAATTCCGCAGGCATTGAATTAGTCACTGCTAAGTAGTAGAAATTTAGAATTGTATATCTTAAAAACCAAGAAAATTATGTTTAATTATTTGTAACTACTATATCCAGTAACTAGTATATCCAGTAACGTGTATATCCAGTAACTAGTATATTCAATAACTAGTATATCCAGTAACGTGTATATCCAGTAACGTGTATATCCAGTAACTAGTATATTCAATAACTAGTATATCCAGTAACTAGTATATCCAGTAACGTGTATATCCAGTAGCTAGTATATCCAGTAACTAGTGTATCCAGTAACTAGTATATCCAGTAACTAATATATCCAGTAACGTGTTTATCCAGTAACGTGTATATCCAGTAACGTGTATATCCAGTAACGTGTATATCCAGTAACTAGTGTATCCAGTAACGTGTATATCCAGTAACTAGTATATCCAGTAACTAGTATATCCAGTAACTAGTATATCCAGTAACGTGTATATCCAGTAACTAGTATATCCAGTAACTAGTATAGCCAGTAACGTGTATATCCAGTAACTAGTATATCCAGTAACTAGTATATCCAGTAACTAGTATATCCAGTAACGTGTATATCCAGTAACGTGTATATCCAGTAACTAGTATATCCAGTAACGTGTATATCCAGTAACTAGTATATCCAGTAACGTGTATATCCAGTAACTAGTATATCCAGTAACGTGTATATCTAGTAACGTGTATATCCAGTAACGTGTATATCCAGTAACGTGTATATCCAGTAACTACGTTTGATCCGCTATTGTTATTCAGCTTGAGTTTCTTGATGATTTTCAATAATTTACATTTTTAACTACTAATGATTAGGAAATTTACAGTGCGTATTTGATATGTAATGTCAAAATGTTTATGAAAGCTTGATGTTCAAAGAAAATTATTTGATCGGGAACATAGTCAAATTAAAACTGCCGAATTCAAAACATCTCAGGGCATTTCAATTTTACAATACCTATTCTATATTAAATGAAAATCTTATATTTTAAAACCATTATTTCTTACCTTGTTAACATTTTGAATGATTTGTTTCGTATTGCATTTAATGCATTTTTAAGTCACGTTCTCTAACAGATATCAATTTTCAATATATTGGATATATTCATTGTTCTAATATTTCCAGTGACCTTTACCAAAAAAAAAATTATTTCGTTTTTTTAATCATAAAATTGTAATACGCCTTGGGTTTATTGTTCCATTAGAAAGGATGCTGTATGAATTGCATAGCGTTTTGTATTGTATTTTTTATAAATGGTATCGCTATTTACAGAAGACAGCACGAGAAGCCGTCTATCTTACATGTACTTCAGTATTATTGACAATAAAATTAATGTGATATATTTACATTCCAAATGTATTTTGCTTATAAAGTGTGAGGAATCTACGGCATTCAAAACACCATAACACCGTAACACAGACAGGGGGTAAAAGGGTTAAAGTATGCGTTTTATTTTGACGTCACTAACGTTGAACACCGTGGAAGTGCTATGTCAGGAGTGAAAATCAAAATCAAAATTCGCGCTCACATTGTACAGAATCTGTTGCAATGTCTCTTCTATTAATTTACCCTAAGGATAATACAGGGATTTTGAAATCTAAATCAAATTTACAGTCAATGCAAGGAGTTAAAAATGTAAAATAATATAAGCGATAAAGCTCGTTATTCAATTCGTTTGCAAATACTTTTGCAGTTATGAGACTATATCCTGCATAAAATAATGATTCAATACTTAAATGAATCAATCAATGATCCCTGTGATGTATTTTCTCTACAGGTGACAGCATGTTAAACTCGGGGAATTCTTACGATGATCTGTCTGGGATGTACTTCAGTACACCAGACAGGGATAACGACAGATTTATATCTAACTGTGCTGTTAAATATGGAGGAGGAGGAGGGTGGTGGTTTAACTCCTGTAGCCGAGCCTTCCTTAACGGTCCCTGGTCCTCGACAGACTGGAAGAGACCTTGGTATCCTACAGTAGAGAGAGGGACAAATGTGAGGAAGACCACGATGTTAATAAAACGTCACTAGGTAAACAACACTCAATCTTAAAAACCCGTATTTAATATTTGGTATTTCCTTGAACATTTTAAACGGTTATTAGAATATTCGTAAAAAGCATAAAACATGCCCTTTTTCTGATACATTATTAAATTCTTTTACTTTTTTCATAAAACATTATTTAATTCTTTTATCTTTTTTTTTTATAAAACATACCCTTTTATTTTTCTTAAACATTATTTAATACTTTTATTATTTTTTTTTTTACTTACAACAGATGGACGTTCAAAATTGAGAGACCAGGCCTCAAATTGACGACGATCATCAATCAGTCAAATGAAACCTTTCTGATAAAAGAGACAATTTTAAATTTATCATGGGATTCTATTCATTTTTTTTTTTTTTTTTTTGATAATGTTATATATTAAGAGAGAAAACTTGTAAAGAATTGTTTTTTGAGGGGTTTTGTGGTTTAACTATTTGCTGAAGCAATAATGTTTTATCAATTTTCCTTACCAAATGTACCCAGTTAAAACTGTACATAATATGTGTTGTAATAAATTTGAAACTAGAAATATTTCGTTCTTACAAACACTGCCACGCTGCCACATGAAGATGCCTTGACGAATAATTGGGATAAAGATTGTTCTATTATAAAAAGTATTACAGTGGAAACTGTTTTCTCCGACACCTGTACAATCTGTGAATCCCGACAATGAATTTCATTCTCATTTCTACCAATTTCTATTATCTTTACACTGTGTAATCTTACATCATGTTTATTTTCTCCCAGTGCATGTCGGATAAAACAGGTTTCATTGTATTCAAGATATTTTATAACCTAATCATAATTAGTTACATTTGATGTTCATGTTCCGCAGTACAATATATCCAGGATTAGGCTTCTTTAAAGAGATGTCCCCATCTTTTTTCCATGAATGCAGTATTTTGATTGGATGAGCAGACATAATCCATTATATACTTAATGTACTTTATATACATAACAATAATTGCTTTTTTTTTGGATGCTCTTGTTCCATTTTTATTTTGTGGGAAAAAAAATGAGCTAAATATTTGACGTCAGATGTACTTCATATTTCTTTCTACAAATTGAATTATACCATTAAAATATTTATTTGGCTTATTTTTTTCTGGCAAGAAACGCAATGATGCCAGATTCGTACGTCTTAGAGGTCTAACGTTTTTAGCAAGGGTATTTTATGAGGTTAGAGTCAAAACATCACATTTTCTGAAGATAAATATCTTTTATTGCTACAGATAATCATTCAAAAAGAGTAAATATTAGAGTTTTCTGCTCTTGAATGTACAAGATCCGTCATCGAAGACTAATATCGTCACTGTAATTTTTGTTCGGGTTGAAACACAGATAGATATATTTACATTTTACAAGTATTTTGTTTATAAAATGTGTTGATAGCTACGCATTCAAAACATATTAACAAAGACGGGGGGGGGGCGCAAAAAGTTATAGTATGCATTTAACTCTGACGTCACAAAAGTTTAACGCCGTGTAAGTGCAATGTCATAAGCGGAAATCAAAATTCGCCTTTACTTCTATAAATTGTAATCTACCCGAGGGATAATAAAAATATTTTAAAAAAAAAAAAAAAAAAAAGCAAGGCTAGGAGTAAAAAAAAGTATATATAAGCATTGAATAATTATTTTTTGAAAGATGCCGTCTCGAATCAGCAATGGTGTGTACAAACAAATTTTCATAAAGCGCTAGCTCGCGTTTCTCAATTTTTTTGCACTCATCGTTAATATTATGAGACAACATTTTAAAAAAAAAAATGATTCAATGCTTAAGTCTGTATTAAGACAATTCATTCTCTATTATGCGGTGTATGGACTATGATACATATTTCCAAAAAAAAAAATATATAGACTGCAGTTTGGTACTTGTAGTCCAATAAAGAGAAAACGTTTTTTTTAAGGAGCTGATGTTAATACAACAAGATGTTTTGGGGAAACAATGATGCCCTCGTATGGCCGCTTATCGCCAAGGTTGTCATTTGCAAGTTAAACTCTAAGGTTAAGGTCAAGAGATCATCATTGTTGGTACTCAAAAAATGGTCTTGTCAAAATGAGTTCACCTTTGAAATCTAAAAGCTATAAAAGCACCAACAGTTCAATAATTATGGCCAAAATTAAAGATTTTCAAAAGTTAGTCAAAAATTGTCAGGCCAAAATTAATAGTACACAAATGAATTTCAGAAGAAATACACAGGTGAATTACGAAAGTTTTAGAATCAGCCATTAAAAAATTATGACTGAAGACTTTAAAAAGTAGTCAAAGTCTGAGGTCGAGATCAAAGGGTAAAAAATGTCGGTATTCAGGAAAAGCTCTTGCCACAGGAAATAAAGCGGTGAAATATTAAAGCCCTAGCACTTACCATTCAGAAATTACGGCCAAGGTTAAAGTTTTTCAAAAGTAGGTCAAACTCATAAGGTCAAGGTCAAATTGTCAATATTGTTGGTACCTAGGAGAAGATCTTGTCAAAAGAAATGATCACGTGGTGCATGTAATTACCTGATTTAACCGTTCAATAGAATTGACCAAGGTTAATACTTGGTATTTTTTTTAAAGTGTGTCAAACTCCAAGATCAAGTTCAAAAGGTCAAAAATATTTACACCCTGGGAAAGGTCTTTTAGCATGGAATACACCTGAAAAGATTGAAAGCCATTCTTTAACCAATCAAACATTATGGGTAAGGTTAAAGTTCTTATTTTACGGACTAACAGACAAACAGATAAACTGACAGACAGACAAACAGAAAAACAGACGGACGGTCAGAGCAAAATATATATGGCCCCGAATCTTCGATTACGGGTGCATAAAACTTTATAATAACACTTGGTTTTAGGTATTATTTTGTACGTTTGGAAAGAAGAGATCTGAATGTAAGTTTCCCTGAAGAAGTGCGAAGATAACGAGACGCCACAATATGCATTCTGTCTACATGCTATCCGAAGTTTATTTAAAAATTCTCTCCCGAGAAAACAAATGAAATACATAAAATTTAGGAGATTCCATTCAATTATTACATTTTTTACTCACTAGTCTAACACTGCATTTTTTCAATGATAAAAATATAATGGTGGCAAAAGTTTATTTTCATTTTAAAACAATGAAACATTACGTAATAGAACACTCTTCCGGCTCCAAATAAAACGGAGAATCCTCACAAATAAAGGGAAGTTTTAGTCCGTCTTCTCCTGTATAGTACGTGTAATTCCTCTCTGTCACCCAGCGCCACCTACCGTCGTTATGATAAGTCAAAAGGAGGCCAAAGATAGGATCAACTGCCGTCTCACCCTCGTCGTTTGGATTCCAGTTCTGATACGTCACAGGTGTCCAATTATCAAAAATTAGTCTTTCATTGTCAAATGTCAAAACATTGGCACGGAATGCAAAAGACCCATTCAGATCAACTTCTGCAGAAAAAGGAAAGAAAATAATATCAGTATTGAAATACCGATATCTGTGTCATAACATATAAACTTTCTAAACTCCATTTATATAATTTGTTTGTTGTTCTACACCCATACCCTTTAAAAACTTATAAATCGATAAACTTGAATTTATGTATCGAAAACCAACAGATGTTCAAAGGGAGAGTATCCCATTTTCGACCTAGGTAAAAAGTACAATTTTCTGATACATAAGCCAATCTAGGCATAACTAAAATTCAATTTGAAGAACAAAGGAAAATAAGTATCGTTGGATGGTGTTTGAAACCATAATCATGGTCTTTTAAATGGAAAAAACAATTGAAAAATTACAAATTTCATACACTGCAATAAACTTTGTTTCAAGATTTCAATGAAGCTAGTAAACTAAAAGTTCTAAAATTTAAATTTGTGGAATGCAAAAAAAGGGGGGGGGAAATATAAGGAGTTTATACACTAATATAGATAAAAAGCAGTTCTTACTTCTACCCATTTGCAAATTAGAGAAATGAAGGTATGTGAAGTGATAGATTGAATAATTACCCGGATGTATACGGTTTACCCCTAAAAACCTCCCATATCCGTCCCCATACCAGACCAGAAGCTCTTCACCCGGTTCTACGTCACGTGACGTCATATAGAAGATGATGCCCTCGCACGTTATAGGGATGACATTTTCTTGTTGATATTTGGCGGGAGAGTTCACAAATCGTAACCAGTTACTACAGGATGGGTCTTCTGCATCTATGTTATAAGTACCATCGGTTCCCTGTTTATCTACCTTTAAAAATTTTAAATCAGAAGAGACTCCATTGTGTATAAAATATTTACATACGGTGAGGAAATGCATGAACATTTAAGGTGTCTTTCCGAGCTTGCAGGAAAGGCTCGAGAAGATGCAATTGAATTTAACACTATTTAAACTTTCAGAACATTAACATCTAAATTATTTTCATTTCCAAATATTTTTCCTTAAGATACTTTGCAAATTAGAAAAAGTTCCTATTCTCATGAACTACCGTGGGATGAGTTAGAATATTTCCATTGTAAAGTAATTGAAATTAAAAAAAACATATAGTGCATTTTTTCAGAAATGATCGTTGAATGACAAAAATATGTGGTACGTCATTAGAAAATAATGTGAATATAAGAAATCAATTTAGTTATTGAGAATTCATGAGGTTCATGAACTACAACGCTTCACGCCTGCATATTTATCATGAAGCGTTAACTATAGTTCATGTCCTGATGAATTCTCAAAAATTAATTTCTTTTTTTTAACTGATACTTTAAACATAAGTTCAACATTCATATATTGTACTGACTTTCCTTTAACAAATCATCATATGGATCAAAACATTAGAATCTTCGATACAATTGATTGATTATATATTCATTTTTTCTTCTGTTGTAGTAATTTTAACAGCCTTTTTGATGTCAAACATTTAGGTGTTCTCCTTTAAAACATTCTTTTTCAAACATTTTATATCGGGAATATATAGAATATCCTGTATGTGGATGAGATATTGTACCTGATTTTGGATGATTCTTCATATAA